ACTCCTCTACTTCAGGTCTTTCCATGGCCCCTTATCACTTTCAGAACAGAATAAGAATCCTGCACAGTCTGGTTCCAGATTGCCCCTCCTGCCTCATCCTCACCATCCCTACAGTCTTGCTCCAGTCAGGCTGAAGCACTTGCAGTTCCCTGAACACGCAGCTGTGGGTTTTCATTTAAGTAGCTCTTTTTGCCTGGAATTCTGCCCTCTCTACAGCTCCCCCAACCACCAACACCACCACCACCACCACCACCATCACTCACTCAAAGCCAACCTCAACTCATCCCTTAAGGACTCAGTTCAGACATAATCTTTTCCAAGATTTCTCTGAGCCCCCAAATCTGCATTACATATCCCTCCTCCTATGCTCCCACAAACATCTCATGTTCATGCCATCACAACCATTACCATATTGAATTGAAAAGGGCTCCTGATTCCTTGGTCTCCTCAACCATGTTTAAACATCTCGGAACCCCTAGTGCCTAAACACAGTGCTTGACATCAGTATTCAGAAAGTGGTTGATGAATGAGTGAATGAGTAAATAAATAAATGAATGTGCGCAACTGAGCCTACCTGATAGGAGGGGGAGCCTTAGTCTATCAAAGAAGCAAGACTGGCAAGAAGGACAGTGAAAAATATGGGACATATTAAGGCACAAAGCAGGGGTCTAAGACTCAGACCAATGACAAACTTGACAGTAAGAAAAGTAAAAGTAGAAGCCAATAGGAGCTCTAGATAAGGGAAATGGATAGGGTTCCACAGTCAGCATGAGAAGCCACAGAAGAATCTCAGGGTCTGAGAGTATAAAACATCTCCCTGCTGAAATCTATGCTTCTCTCCCCAGACTAAGAAGGTATAAAACCAGCAGAGAAAGTAATAAATAGTTTATCCTGGAAACACAGAAAAAAACCTGGGGCTACAGTCAGAATAAGCCTGAGCAGATCAAAGAGAAGATGCTGGTGGCAGGAGCCAGGAGGTACAACAAAAGAGGACTGGGTTTGGAGTTAGGCGGCTCCACCACTTACTTACTAGTTCTGTGACCTGGGGCAAGCCAACCCTTTATTTCTCTAGGAATCTTAGATTCTTCATTGGCAAAATGGGAACATAACTCCTATCTCACCCAACTGTTTAAAGAAACATACAAGACATACTACACTTTGTAAATGAAAGAACAATGTAGTTGGCACCTACTATTACAAGTGTTGACCCTAAGCTCTGTCTCTTCTGCCTCAGCCCTTGGGGCAGGAGACTGAGTGTTCCAGACTGTGTGAGCCAGACTGCTTCACGTTTCTCCTGTTCTTTGCCCAGTTCCCTATTGTTCCCTCACTGTCATTCAGACAAGTCTTCAGAATGGAGCCAGCCAGCTCAGCTGTGCTCAGGGAACTCAGGGAAAGGTCAGAGTCCAAACTTGGGACGACAAAGGGTTAAAGGAGGCCTACAGCCCCCTCAAGACTCAAAAGAGAAGGTGAGTTCAGAGGGACAGAATTGGGATCACTTGCCACCTCCCAACCCACCCACACACAAGTTCTGGTTTTGTTTTAATGATGAACTAATAGGAATTTGTCTTATTGTCTGAAGTCTCCCTAATGTTTTACAAATCATACACCATTCATTCATTCATTCCACTTCTACTGGAAACTTACCATATGCCTGGTATAGGCAAAGTGAACATAGGAAAAAAAAATAATAAAACATAACAGAAATGACATGTGCCCTCAGAAAATGTCCAATGTAGATGGAAAGATATGTATACAGAAACCCACTTAAAAAGAAGACAAAACAAAAAACCTGGCTGTGAATCAGTGCCAAACGCACAAATATAAAACATCAGCATTGGGCAGAGAGGATGGTGGCCAGGAGAGCCTCATGGCTCAGGTGGGCAGACAACACTTCACAAGCAGGTAGAACCTAAGCTGGCCTTAAAGAAGAAGCAATATTTGGATAAAAGTCACAGAGGGAAAATAGTACTTTAAGACTATGGCAGCATTCATTAATGCATGCATTCACTCAGTAGATACTTACTGAACAATTACTCTGTGCCAGAATAATTGGTGCACTTGGGATGCACCAATGGTGCACTTGGGATAAGTAAGAGAGAAAAACAACAACAAATATTTTGAAGAGCTTAATATGTGCCAGGTACGTTTTTAAGCACTTTAACTGAATTAACTCACACAATTCTATAAGGTAAATCACTGTTATGATCATCATTTTACAAGTGAGGAAAATGAGGCAGAGGGAAGGCAAGTGACTTGCCTGAGTGGTGGAGCCAGCATTCAAGCCTGGGCGGTCTGGCTCTGGGAATATTTTAACAGTTTTATTAAGGTATAAATTATATATACAGTATATAATTTGATGTTTTTACATATGTATACACCTAGTTTAGGGTTTAACAATGACAAGTTTAGACCGGGTGTGGTGGCTCATATCTATAGGCCCAATACTTCGAGAGGCCAAGCTGGAAGCATTTGCTTAAGGCCAGGAGCTTGAGACAAGCCTGGGCAATACAGCAAGACCCCATTTCTACAAAAATTTTAAAAATTTAGCTGGGTGTGGTGGCACACACACCTGTAGCCCCAGCTCCTCGGGAGGCTAAGGCAGGTGGATTGCTTGAGCCCAGCAGTTCAAGGCTACAGTGAGCCATGATGACACCACTATACTCCAGCCTGGGTAACAATGCAAGACTCTGACTTAAAAAAAAAAAAAAAAAAAAGACAAGTTTAGTTTTGGATATGATGAGTTAGAGCTCATATTCAACAAATAGCCAAAAACAAGGAACTGAAGAGGGGCTTGGCGACTGGAGGTAGGAATACTGATTTCAGAATCAACAGATAAAGATGAAAGTAAGGCTCCACCTGAGGGAAAAATACAGAGAGAGGAGCAGGGGCTAATAACAGAATCTGGGAGACATACAGTGTAGAAGACAAGAAGAGAAGACAGGGAAGGGGACAGTGAAAGGATAATGAGAAATACAGAGTCTTACGAAAACCAAGGGAGAAGAAAGTCTCTAAAGTCAGATGCCACAGAAAAGACAAGGACAATGAAGATGCTATAGACAGCACTTCAGTGCTAGGAAAAAAAACCTCAGAAATAATCTAGTCTAATTTTTATTATATCTAAAAAGACAAAGGGAATCTGAATAAGGTTTGTAGTTTACTTAACAAGAGGCATTGCACCAACGTCCATTTCCGATTTTGAGATTATACTAAAGTTATATAAGCTTCTCCAATTGGGGGAAGCTGGGTGAAGGGTACATAGGATTCTGTATATCTATTTTCCTGTAAATCTATAATTATCACAAAATAAAAAGTTAAAACAAAGGAACTAACTAAACATCTAATGTATGCCAGGCATTATACTGGATACTTTCTTAATAAACATTTTAATCTTCAAGCAATCCTATTAAGTAGATCTATATCCCCATTTTATAGTTGACAAAAGTTAGAGGCATAATAAAGGATTTGCCCACAGTCACCACCTGGATTATGAGTGAGTGAAACTGTAACTTCTACTGCCATGTGCATACATTCTATCTAAAACAGCCATGACAAGTGGCCTCTTGACTCCTGCTTGACCAAGTCTCAACCTTAATGTTTTATAACAGTGTCACATAGAATAAGCTACTTTACCCTATCTTTAGTGCCAGTTTTCTCATCAGTGAAATGGAGTAATAACCCTTGTCCTACTTAATTCATAGGATTGCTGTTGAGATTCCAATGAGATAAAGCATGTGAAAGCTTCTTGCAAACTGTAAAGTCTGTGCATGTCTGAGGGCTGATGTTCTGAAACAACCAACTGTGAATAAGGTCAACCCCAGCTAAAAAGACAGACAGAAGGAAAAAATACCCACACTAGCAACTCCTGCTTGCCTGTCCTTTTGGGTAGTATATGGCCCTGGGGATGTACTGGCTACCAGCAGCATCTGGCCAAGGGCAGGCAGTCCTCTCTTGCACAAGCCTGGCTCAGCAACACTAGACATAATCACCATTCTCCCTCCACCAGCCCCACACCCATATGGTGTGCTTGCCTATGCAGATGCTCTGTGCCTCCAGAAACTTCAGCTGTTTATAAATGAGCATTCTGCCATGAGGCTACTAGAAATACACCCTTGGCCCTTGGCCCCTGGCCCTGAGTCCTAGCTCAAATCTGTCTTGTTGGAGGCAGGCTATCCTCAGTACACCCAGAGTTTAAGAAATTAAGCAGCTCCAGATACTGGTAGAACTGAACTTACTCATGGTGCTAGAATTAGCTAGAGAAGAAGCAAAGACACACACTGCCACATTAAGACAACAGAAACCTATCTCAGAGGTAGCTTGGGATGCTACTGAGTTCTGTTTGTAGAAATGCTTCTTTGGATAAAATGGCCTATCATTTCAAGAAGGAGGCCTAGTTGTACCATCGATTCATCAGTCATGCCAGAAAAAAGCTGGCTGAGGGTTGCCAGCGCAACCTGACTCTCCTGCTTGATCAAAAGGCACTGATAACTGAAATGCCAGTGATTCCACCAAGAGAAAAGAAACTTATGGTAGGCCTTACTGCCTGGTTTCACAGACTCTATTGCAGCCCTTCCCTCTAACAGTTATGCAGCCCTGAGCTGAGCCCATTGTATGTAGACCATGGCAACTGCCTCCTATGGTTTCACTGCCTTCTTCCAAGCCATCCTCCAAGGGCAGCCAGGGAAGGCTCTGATCACTTCACTTCAGTTTAATAACCATTCACAATTCTCACTGACTACACGACCAAGTGAAGCCCAAATCCCATGGCCTGGCATTCAAAGCCCTTCTCAAATTGGCCCCAGTTGACCTTTACAACATTGCTTCAATTATTCCCCTTTGTGTTCTTTAGGCTCCAGCCAAAATGAACTACTTGATGATCCCTGAACTCAGCCTGTGAGGAACTCTGTACTTTGTTCATGCTGTGCGCTCCATCTGGAATGCTTCCTTTTTATCCAAATCCTACCTGATTTCCAAATGGCTCAAATGCCACCTCCTCCATGAAGTTCCCCTGATTATTCTAGTTCGCATTATTTCAGCAGCATATTATCAGAACCCAAAGAGCTCTAACAAAATACTGATGCCCAAGCATCATTCTCAGAGATTCTAATTTAATCAGTTTGGGTTAGGGCCTAAGCAAATTATATTTTTAAAAAAGTTCCCAAGGTATTTATTCTATATTTTTATTATTTATTTATTTGTTTATGGAGAAAGAGTGAGAGGAACCTAAGGTGTTTCTAATGTGCAATCAGAGTTAAAAACCATTGTCCTAGTTAGAAGACATCTCTCCTATCGTTGAGCCGCCATAACATTTTATCTAAGTATCTTTTATGACACATAATTTCTAGCTCTTTTTATAGACATTTTAGTTTTAAAATATTTTATTGTTTATTTTGTAGCAGGCACTATTCTAGGCACTGGCATATAAATAACAGTGATTAAGACAAAGCACCTGCTCTCATGGAGCTTACATTCTGTCTGATGGGGACACAGATACTAAACAAGTAATACAAGGTCAGGTTATAAGTGTTACTAAAAGCAGGGCAAAGGGATGGAGAATAAGAGGAGCAGTCCCCTTTTAGAGAGGGTAGTTAGGAACAGCTTTCCTTATTGCAATCTTAGCTCCCTTTTAGACAGCACATTGCTTAACAACAAAACCTGCATCTAACTCATGTTTGTATGTCTCACAGTTTTTTGCACAGTGCTTGGCACATAACAGGTGCTCAATAAATAGATACTTGTTATATGAATGAACAAAAGAATGAGTGAGTGAATGGATCAATGTGCCTTATTAATAGCTGTATCCCCCATAATGCCCAGGGCTGTATTTGAAATACACCAGATGCTCAATAGATATTGGCTGAGTGAGTGAATTTGACTGAATTTTGGAACAAGTTTATTGTGATGGCACATTTCCTGGGACTAGGCCATCACAGGAACACAGGATATCAAGCTAATCCTGAGATTGATGTGCCCAAACTCCTCATTTTAAGGACAAAACTGATGTTCAGACAGATGATTACCTACCTGGCTCAAGATCACAGAATAAATCAAGCAAAAACTGACCTGAGTGCCTACTTCTGACTCTTAGTCCAGTGCTCATTCCATCGAACTGAAATACTTTTCCCATTATCATCAGAAAACTATTCTGAGGGTCATTAACTTAATCAGCCCAAGAAATAACTCAGATTAGCATCAGTAAAACTAAAGAAAATCTCAATTTCCTTTGCTGATAGCTCAAAAATAGCACTTTTAACAGACCGGCTGCCCTACTCCACCATTCCCAGCAAGGTAAGAAGACAAGACTTCCCAGAGCAGGCAAGGGGTCAGTGAATTTCCAACTATAAATACAACTCTGAACCTTTCCCCTTTTCTATCCTTAGCCACATATGCAATGAGATATGGAACAACCACCCCAGGCTGAACAGGAAAGGCAACATAAAAAAAACCAGTGGCTGAGAAACCAGAGAGGAACTGAAGGCCCTGGCCAGGTGAGGGAGAGCAGCAGGTGCTGGGATTGTTGACACAGTGATGGGTATGCTCCAAGCAAGTGGCTGGCCACACTGGCCTTGGTGTAGGCAAACTGTGGCCTGAAAATAAGCAAGTAAAACATTTTTTTCGTTTTTCTTAAAATCCTCTGGAATCACAGAATCCATCTATGCAATGAAGACTAATTTCCCAGAATAATTTTCCAAACAAACTGCTCAAAAGAGCTGAATGTTACATAGTCAGTATGGGCTTCCCTGGCTATCTACTAAATACAATGCTCTATCACCTGGCCTTTTTGTACCTCCACAGTCCAGGGATGTTCAAAATGAGGACCCTAAGGCCTTTGGAAATCCTAAAGGGCTTTCTCAATCATCAAAGAAAATTTTGGCTGAGTCAAATTTTAGTGTCATTAGTTACATTGCTATGTTATATCCTTGAAATTGACACTTTGTGTTGGGCATAGATGAAAGACAAGAGTAGCTGATTAACTACAGCAGAGATTTCTAGCTTTATCTGATCATATGAATCACCTGGGGGGACTGGACCCCACCAAATTAGAATTAAGGTACAGACCTAGATATGTGTATTTTTAGCAAGCACACCAGATGATTCTTACAAATTGGTTAACATGGGAAACACCAAGCTAGAAAATCACAGTATCCGCTTCACAGGATTATTATCAGAATTAAATGGAACTATATAAAGCTCTTGGCTCAGTGCCTGGCACATAATAAGTGCTCAGTTTAAGTGTTGGTTGTTGTTGTTATTTAATTATTAATAAGAAATTACAGAATCTGGTCAGATAACAGTTACTGTATGTATGTACAATTAAAAAAGCAGAGAGTACAAGTATCCCAGAGTGGAACAACCACCATCATTTACCTCTTTTTTCTTATTAACTTCTTCCCTGTTATTCCCCTAGCACAATGGCTCTCAAAGTGTGGTCTCTGAACCAGCAGTGTCAGCATCGCCTGAGGAATTATTATTAATAGAAATGCAAATTCTCAGGCCCTATCCCAGGTCTCCTAAATAAGTATATCATCAGAGGTAGTGCCCAGAAGTCCATTTTAACAAGCTTTCCAGGTGATTCAGAAGCAGGCAACAGTTTGAGAACCATCACCCTAACATCTTGCTACTAAAAGTATGGTCCCTGGATCAACAGCATGAGAATGTCAGAAAGGCAGAACCTCAGTCCTTCTAAATCAGATTCTGCATTTTAATGACATTCTGAGGTGATTCATATGCACAGTATCATTTGCAAAGCACTGTCCGAGTGTGCAGGAGCTTTAGAGATGCAAAGGGAACTAAATTTACTATTGTTTTGATTATTAAGTAGCATTTGTAAGTACTTACTAGGCACTATCCTTTATACAGGCTACCTTGTTCATCCTCATTAAGGCTAGTTGTAGGTATTTTTATTCTTGTTTTAAAGATTAGAATATTGAGGCTCAAATCAGTAAAGTACCTTGCTGAAGGTCACATAGCTAAAAAGTAGTAGAGCTGGTCCTCTCTATGTGACCCAAAGTCTGTGTTCCTTTCCCCACCCCATGGTGCCTGTGGGTAGTATAGCTAAGCAGATACCACCTGCCTGCTGGTACAATGGAACACTTTAAAAAAGAGGTTGTCTCAACTTATGAATGAGCAACACAACAGTGTTTCTAAGTGAGATGTTTGGAACTAGTGAGGGAAATACTTGTAGAAATACTTACATCATGGCTTCTATAAGAAAATGCATTCTGAGTTATAGCAACAGATGGTAACAGCTCCCTGCAGGGTCAATACATCTGGGCTCCAGGAACTTGTTAGTACTTTATTCATATTAGCACAAGAGAAAGCACCTCCTAGAAAAACCCCTCCCGAGATGTTATGGCTTGGGAAACATCCATTCATTCTCTCAATCAAAGATTTACTGAGTGCCTTCTATGGAAAAGATGATGTGCCAGGTGCCATAGGTAAAAACGATCCATGACTCAAGGAATTCATAATCCAGTAAGGGAAATAAAGCAGGAAAACACACACACACACACACACACACACACACACACACACAACCGAAAATCCAAAGTGGAAAGTGGTGACTGAAAAAGGTAAAACTATGGACATTCAGAGAAGGAAAAGATCACTTAGGACTTGGGGATAAGGGAAGACTTCCAAAGCAGGTGCCATCTAAAGCTGAGTCTAGAAAGATAAGCAGAACATGGACTAGGCAAAGCTAGCACTCCTGGCAAAAGGAAGAGTGTGAGCAAAGGCAAGAAGGTGCAAAAGAGAAGTCATGTTATAGAACTCCAAGTTATCCCCTTGGTTGAAGCAAAAGGTTCACTTAACTTGGATTGCAAAAGATGAAACTAGAAAGGCAGGGAAGACTCTAAATGCCAGGCTGAGGGAACAGAACTTTGTACATATAGAGAGAGCTGCTTCATATTACTCATCATATTACATAATAAATCGTTGAACCCAAATCCTTTTTGAAACAAGCTAGGGTAAAAACAAACATTTCTGAATTGGTATTATAATTATTTTCAAGTCTGCTTCCTCTATTAGACTGAATTCAAATGACTTTGAGTATTAGCAGATGCTCAAAAGATGCTGAATATATAAACAAAGGAATGAATAAATGAGTACACTAATGAGCAGCTGAGGGGTCATGAGCAGGAGAAAGATAGCTCAAGATTACAACATGGCCTGAAAAGGAAGTGGGTAAAGGAGGGATGGTGATGGTGAGAGTGAAGGCAGCAGATCTAATGGTTAGGAGGCCACTGGGACTGGTCAGTTAAGAGGCCACCAAGTAGATTAAGGGCAATGAAATGAGGGAAAAGGGACAGAAGAGAGAGGCGTGGCTGTAACACATAGCAAGTGATTGTCAATGGGGGCAAAGAGAAGGGAGACATCAAAGTCTCACTGAAGTTTGGGTCTGGGAGACAGGAAGGGTGAAAGTGCCATTGGGAAAATGGGAAGTCAAATGGAAGAGTAAGGTGCTTTATAGATATAACGTCATTAAATCCTCACAACCATGGGGATATTATCTCCACTACCTCTCTGACCTCATCTTCTCTTATTCTCCCCCCATGCTCAATCCACTTGGGTCATGCTAGCTTCTTGCTGTTTCCCAACTATGTGGGGCCTGCTCCCACTTTAGAGCTTTGCACTGGGGCACTCTTCCCCAGATATCTGCATGGCTATGTCCCTCACCAACTCCATGTCTTTGTCACCATCTCAAGGGGGCCTATTAAAAACTACAGCCCACACTTCCCCCAGCTAACCACCCCTCATAATTCCTAACATCCCTTACCCTGCTCTTTCTTATTTTTATTATACTTATTACTTTCTAACATATCATATAATTTTCTTATTATGTCTAGGTTTAATGTCAATGTCTGTCTTCCCTCACTAACATGTAAATTCCATAAAGACGAAGATTTTTATTTCCCAAATGCCTTGAACGTTTGGGCTAGCACATAGTGGGCACTCAATAAATTCAGTGAATTACCTCCATTTTATAGACAAGAAAACTGAGGCTCAAAGAGGGAATGCAACTTTCCCCGAGTAACATAATACAATTTTCAGTCAGTGGTGGGAGCCTACATTAAAACACACATCTATCCAACTCCAACTTCCACTCTACCAGACTAAATCTCCTTTTAGACAGTCCAAGTTTGGGGGAACTGTGGCCTAACTGGGAAACAAGGATGTGAGATTAGAGCCAATAGCAACCATTCCCACAGACAGTGGACTTGACCTGGCTGGTGGCAAGTCCATGTGTGCGGGGCCTGAACCACCTGCAGACTGAAAAGCAAGCACTCTAACCAGAGAATCACGAAGAGAACCCATGGTTTTATTTTCCAAGTGCAAGTTTGAAGAATCAGGCCAGCTTCTCCAGTGAAGCAGCTCCTAATTTTTCCAGCTGCCTAGATTGTCAAATTACAAACTTATCTTCAGGGGAATGTATTTAACAAAGGGACATGTTCTATTTCCCTTTTTACCACCCATCCAATGGATCTGCACTTGGTTTAATTGCCACTCTGATCTCCCCGCATAATCCATACATCACAAGGCTCACATTTACAGTGCAGTACATTAACAAGCTGGAGCTGCTCAAAATAAACGGGTTTGGCAAAGTGTAATTATTTCCAGCAAAAGAGTTGGTTCTGCATTTTGACAGTCATCTGATACATTATTGTACTCAATGTGAAACTGTAAAACTGCAAAATTAAAAGAAAGCATTTTTTTAAAGTTTTAAAAGTACTCATTATTAAATTATAAAGCAGGTCATTTATGATGAGTCAGTCCAAAAACAGAAGGATAACAATGAAAAGGTTGCAGGAAGTGTGACTTCTTCATATGACCTCTAATATCCATAATCTAAGGCCACTGTGAAAATTAAATGAGATAGCACACGTAAAACACCTAGTCTAGTGTCTGAGACATAATAGGTCCTCAGTAAATGATGATTTCCTTCCTTAATTATCACAGTTATTTTCCTAACAGCAGAATTCACAAACTACCTCAGTTTGTTCATTGTTCATGTATTCCATGATTCCCTCATTCCCAAAGAGCTCTCAGAACACTGGGGAAAGGCAAGTAAACAGGTAACTCCCATAAGGAGGGATAAGTGCTAAGGGAGAGGTAGACACAAGGGTGTTGGGGTACAGAGAAAGAGCCCTTATCCCAGGGAGAGCAAGACCTCAACTGACATGACAGAGAAAGTGCAGGTCAGTAGATTGTAGAGGAAGGTGAGACAGAAACAGAGACAGACAGAACACCACATGCAAAGTCTTGGAAGAAAGAGCGAGCACACAACTTGGGGAAATTGCAATTAGAACCAGCCTAGAATGGCCAATGCAGGGTAAACAGATTGTATTGAGACCTGGAGTGGCCCTTCTTTTGTGTGTTAAAGTGACAAAATGCACTAACTCTTCAGCACAACAGGAAGTGGCTAAGCATATCCCTGTAGCCCACACTCCCTTGTCCAAATTCCCAGCAAGGTGATCTCTAGCCCAGCCAC